AAGGCAGATAGATTTACCGTAAGTTGAAGAACTTTTAATTTGAACAGAAATTATTCAACAAATATTCTTTTTATTTGATCAAGAGACGTATACCAATATAATCTACTTGCTAGGGATATGTAGATCACGTTCAGAATTTGCCAAGTTTGGTGAATATCTATGGGATTAGGGACATCTATTTAATTTAAGAACTAAAAATTAGCATAGGCGTATTATGCTGTTACTGAAATATATTTTGGATGTATAAATTTTTACTTAATACTCTTTTATTGTTATCATTTTTAAAGATTTTTTATTATGAGCAAAAAAATGGCAAGACAATAATATATTGTACATGCAATTTATTATTACTGAATAAATTTATCAATCAAATTTGATCACATACAATTTTTACAGATAAATACATTATCTCAAAAAATATCTATATATTAAAAAAAAAAAAAAAAAAAGGTAGTGGGGCTTCCAGGCACTTCGTGCCCTCTAGCCCTGAAGATGTTTAGTATAAATGAAGTTTTTTTGGGTACTGGGGGCTTCCAGGGGCTGCGCCCCTTCTAGCCCATAAAAAATTTTTGAGAGTCGTCGCCGTTGACTTTTTTGTAGAGCACTCAAAATAGTATAAATGAAGTTTTTATTCGGAGGGCTTCCAGGAGCTTTTCACAAATTATATATGTTTTCATGTTTTGTCACTTTTCAGGTAAAAACATTTTTATTATTGTATATAAAATGAATTTTACAAAACCACCGTTACCCTTCTTTGGAAATAAGAGTAGATGTAAAGATATTCTATTGAGAGAACTTAAGAAACTACCGAATGGTCTAACATTTGTAGATTTGTTCGGTGGAAGTTTCTATATATCCCATTTGTGCCATACCGTATTCCCAGACTCAAAGATTATATGCAATGACTTCGACAACTATATGGACCGTCTCAAACATATACCAGACACAAACAATATATTGAAAGAGTTAAAAGAAAAGATACCTATAGGTAAGATGGAACGTATACCATTAGATAAGAAAAATATTGTGAGAGAGGTTTTGAAAAAAGCAGAATATATTGACTGGGATAGTATATCTGCTAGACTATTATATAGTGGTTCTATAAGAGTTCATGACATTGAAACACTTATGTCAAAAGTTTTATATCTTAACTATACAAACGTTTTCAAAGAGAACATAGAAAAATATATTGAGGGTATAGAGTTTGTGAGATGTCATTGGACAGAGTTGTATGAAAAATTTAAAGACAAGGAAAATGTTTTCTTTATAGTAGACCCACCGTTCTATAACACATGGGATTTTCAATACCAAGTAGACTGGACTTTGAGAGACTCTTTAGAAACTTTAGACGTTTTACATAACCATCCATGCTTTTACTTTACATCCGATAAAAGTGGTTTGGAAAGTGTCATGAGATGGTTAGAGGACATACATGACTATGAGTATAGATATGACAAGATAGAATATGAGAGAGGTCCTATAAACCGGAAAAAGTGTCATAACAAAGAAATTTTATTGGTAAGTAAATGTGGTTTGAAATAGGACTACTTGTTTTAGGTTTTTTCCATTGTGTCATTTACTTATTTGACGTGGCAGAAAGATATAGAGAATATGAAGATGAACCAATGTCTGCAAATGTTCAGCATATGTACTCGTAAGAGATATTTTTATCTAATATTAAATGGACGCACAGAACTTAGCGAATGCACAGCAACCTGGACAACCAAACCCAGAGAATATTCCAAATGAAGTTAGAATACAAACTGCAATGGCAAACTATGGTCAAGTGCCAACAGATGTACAAATGCAAACTGCCATGTCAAATGACGCTGCGTTAGGTTTGCCACCATGGTATGCAAATATGAGATGGAAAGAGTTTTATACAAACCCTGAAGTGGGATATAAACAACTCTATGCAGATGACGCGAACACAGGAGTTGACCCGGAATATGTTTTCTACCAGAGGAGAAATAGAATGTATGAGCTCCAGTTAAAAAATGCTATGGAACTCAGAAGGAAACGTAAGAGACTAGGCGGACATTAGATTTTTACATATAGTAAAATGGGTTTCTTTGGAAGAATAGGAAACTTCTTTCGAAATGTTGGAAGAGGTATATGGAATGGAATAAAATCTGTCGGAAGAGGAATTTGGAACGGAGTCAAAAATATTGGTAAAAGAGTAGGTCAGTTCGTTGGTATTATACCTAAAGACCCTGAACCAGAAGAACAAGCTCCTGTTATACAACAGCCTGAACCTGCACCACAGTCTAGTTGGCAACCAAATCCAACACCTTCAACCGTATTAAAAAATTATATTTTTACCGTTCGATAGTAGTTGTATATGAAACTAAGTTCTAAGTAAAACGCATGGTATAATGGAATTATTCTCTTTCTTCCATCTGTTGTAAACCATACTGAAAGTCTGAAATACTTCCACTCGGCGGTTCATATAGCTTTGTAGGTTTTTCGTAAAAGTCATTTGCCAAGCATAAAAAAGAGTTTTGTGCACCAGAAAATGAAGCATGAACTATAATAGCATCTGAGTCGAAACATTTTCATATGTTCCATTAGGGTTTTCGACTTCATAAAAGTCCGGGTGTACTGGATATTCTGCAGGCTGATTTAACATCCTCAAAAATCTATACATGCCAAGTTGTTATATTTTGTAGAAATATAAACGTTTTCTCCAAGGTCTTCTATTCTATTGATTTAACAGTTGCATTTTTCCTGTCATAAATAATATCGAGATGGTACTCTCCTTCGTCAATGTTGTACTGTTTTGCATATTCGAGATAGATATCGTTTATTTTTTCTTGAAAAGCTTGAAGAGTTGTTTCTAAGTTTACAAGCAAACTAACTTGTAAAAGTTTTCCCTGTTCAAATTTCTCATACGTACGTTTTTCTTTGTTATAGTATCGAACTTCAAAACCGACCGTAAATGGGAAACATGTATGGCTTCTGAAATGAACTTCATTCTACGAAAGCCAATAGCTTTTGTGACGGATGGGTCTCTTAACCATCTTAACGGGTAGTCAAAACGATAGCCTTCATGCTTTACGGTCTCTGTCTCAAACTTTTGACCGACATTAGTAAAAAGTTCATCTAATGGTTTAGTTGTAGCAACTCTTGAATTTTCTTTTTCTATTGAAAGCATATTTTATCTAGAATAAAAATGTCGAAAGAAACAGCGTCTATGAGAGAAATAAAACACACAACAGACAACTCATTTTGCAAGCTCTAAATAAGAACACAACAAACTTTTCAAACTATTCTAAGATATCTGAGTCATTGAAAGAAGGAAACTTAAAACTGACATTAAACCCAATGACAGACGAGTTTCTGTTTCAAGACAGTAAGAACCATACTGTCTGTATAAATCCAACAAAAGGAACTTTAAACGAGAAACCTATAAAAGAACTTCTTTTGAAAGCAGATGTTGACAACAAAGCTGACAAAGAGTATGTCATTGAAAAAGTTCAAGAAGAACATGACAGAGCAGATGCAACATATGCAACAAAAGAACATACTCATCCTGAACTAGCAGACAAAACATATGTTGACAATAAAATGTCAAGTGAAGTGACAAGAGCTGAAAACGAATATTCTAAAAAGACTCATACACATACCATTGCAAATATTACAAACTTACAAGAAACCTTAAACAGGAAAAGTGACGTTGGACATACACATACCATTGCAAATATTACAAACTTACAAGAAACCTTAAACAGGAAAAGTGACGTTGGACATACACATTCTATATCTGAAATAACAGACTTAAACGTTAGCCTTGACAACAAAGCTGACAAAGAGTATGTAGATGCAACAAAAGACTATATTCTCGCATGGACAGAAAGAACATACCCACAAAAACATCATACACATAACATCTATGATGTAGATGAACTTCAAGAAAAGTTAGATGGCAAAGCTGACAAGAACCATACACATACCATTGCAAATATTACAAACTTACAAGAAACCTTAAACAGGAAAAGTGACGTTGGACATACACATACCATTGCAAATATTACAAACTTACAAGAAACCTTAAACAGGAAAAGTGACGTTGGACATACACATTCTATATCTGAAATAACAGACTTAAACGTTAGCCTTGACAACAAAGCTGACAAAGAGTATGTAGATGCAACAAAAGACTATATTCTCGCATGGACAGAAAGAACATACCCACAAAAACATCATACACATAACATCTATGACGTAGATGAACTTCAAGAAAAGTTAGATGGCAAAGCTGACAAGAACCATACACATACCATTGCAAATATTACAAACTTACAAGAAACCTTAAACAGGAAAAGTGACGTTGGACATACACATACAAGTTTTACAACTTTTACAGCAGATGATATAATATTGAACTTTGACCTTGGTTCAAGTGCACCTTCAGAGAATCCAAGCACTAGTGTAAAAGATACTCTTAACAATTTAGTTAACAGTTGCAGGAATATCGAAGAGCATGCCAGAAACTTTGAAGCATATGAACTACCAACAATGTTAGAGAAGAAAGCAGACAAAACAGAGCTTCAAACATTAAAGATTGAAATACTTCAAACAGTATATCCTATAGGTTATATTTATACGTCAATGAACTCTACCAGACCAGAAGTAGTACTTGGTTTTGGAACTTGGACTCAAATAGTCGACAGGTTTTTGTATTGTGCAAACTCTTCAAAGGAAACAGGTGGAAGTAAAACGATTTCAGGTGAAAACCTACCTGCGCACAGTCATTACATAAATTTAAGTACATCTCTAGAAGGTTGGCATAAGCATAGATATTGGGATTGGTCAAGAATGACAAAAGGTAAAGGATATGATGTTAAAGACGACGTTGAGTTTGCTATAAATTGTTACTGGAGTGACACTCAGGGAGGAGGAAGCCATACACATTTGGTTTCAGGGTATACGCAAACAACGGGACAAAGTAAAGACTACATGCCACCTTACATGACAGTTTACGCATGGTATAGAAATGCTTAGTCGTCATTTTCAACTTCTTTAGCATATTCGTCTGGAGTTGTCTTATATTTGTTAGGAACTGTCTTTGAAAGTATACCACCTTGAACTTTGACAAGTTTGAAACGAGGTCTGACAATAGTAGTTTTATCTTCTGCTTGCAGTCTGTACATTTTGCCATGTTTGCCTAAAACTTCATAATATTCTCTTGTATACTTTCTTCTATTTTTACGAACACGAATGTGAGTACCTGTCGGGTTCCCATTGTTGTCATAGTCAATAGTATTTTCATATGGGTCGCGTTTAGGTATTTCTATTTTTACTTTGTCACCTTTCTGAAGTTTGAAGCCCGGCATTCTTTCTTGTTTGTCTCTTTTGACTAAATTGTTAAATATATAGTCTTTCTCTAAGTCAGGGTTGTTTTTCATTTCTTCGGGGAAGTGGTTTCCCAAACCTTTTTGTTTACGGCTATTGTAAATATTTAAAACTTGTCTCATCTTTGCCATGGAGAAGTGTCTATATTTGTCGTCATATGACATTTCATCTACCTCACCACCTTGTGGTTGATTTAAGTCTCTTAAGATTTTTATACAACTGTCAATGACACCAAGAGCAGAATGGTTTTGGTCGACAATGAAATATTGGTTTACATTTTTTGAACGCAGATAGTTTTTAATATCATCTGATTTGAAAGAACTTTCATAGTCAGATGTCAGTTTTGTTGGATGGTATTTGTCAACGAATATTGTCAAAGCAGTTTTCACATCTAAAATATTTTTGGACCATAATGGTATGGCTTCACAGTATCTTGTGTTTTGACCAACAAATATTAACCAGTATGGTGGTCCATCTTCTCTATACCTCGGAATGTTTTCCAAGATATCCATAAACCAAGCATTTGGTGTTGAACTAAAGATTTTTACCATGAGTGCTTTCTTTGTCGCTTTAGAAACATAGGGGTCCTTGTTTGAATTCGTCATTTTTAACCCATAAGAAATGGGTTTATTTGGCGCATTAGCAGGAGTCGCATCTAGATTTTTGCCCGCAGTGGGAACAATAGCCAGAGGTGCATTTGGAATTGGAAGGAAGATTTTGAGTACATTAGGTATACTGAAAGAGAAAGCACAACCTATTATACAAACTGTACAGAAAGGTTGGGAGGTAGCACGAGATGCAGCAAATCTTATTCCAAATCCTGAAACAAGAGGAAAAGTTCAAGGATGGATGGACAATGTAGGAAGACAAGCAGGAAACTACTATAACAAAGCAAATGACTACTATAACCAAGCAGGGCACTATATGGACCAAGGTGAAAGATTCTTTAACAGAGGATATAACCATGCACAACAGTGGGTAAACAACAACCAACCTCAACCGCCTCAAACGTGGGGAATGTAAAATTTTTTACTGAGATGAAATGAACAATACAGCATTGAGACAAATGGGTTCAAGATGGATTTGTCGGCTTCCAGCAGTTACACAACGTGTTTGTCAAGTTCTTCCTATACCTCAGGAAGTTTTAGACCGACTTAAAAAACCTAAACAACCAGTTGAAAACAAACCAAACTAAAATTTTTTACTGAGATGAAATGAACAATGCAGCTTTAGACAGAATAGGTCATGGAAGACCACCTTTTAAACCACGTGTTTGTCAAGTTTTTCATATACCTCAGGAAGTTTTAGACCGACATAAAAAACCTAAACAACCAGTTGAAAACAAACCAAACTAAAATTTTTTACTGAGATGAAATGACCGAAGAAGTTGAAACGGTAGATTTGACACCACAAACAAAAAGTTCAGAACCATTGTCAAAACCTGTCAAAGAACTTACAGATGAAGAGAAAAATTCAATAATAGAAAGTGCTAGGTCTGGAAATACAAACTCTAACTACAAAGTCACTTTTCATAAAAATGGAACGGCAAGTATCTCAAAAAAGAAACAGACTCTCACAAATAAAATATTGAAGTCTGAAGGAGCTTTCGAGACAACAGATGGAAAAGTTTACTTCACTGACCAACAGTTCATTATAGAACATCTCATTGACTTAGAGTCGAAATATTCTAAACTTTACAACAAACACAAAAAGTTGAAAGGAAAACAAAAACAAATGGCATATGATATTTATGAAGATGTTGACGACACAACTGTTCCAGCAAGTGAAGTAAAGTCAGAGGAACCGAAAAGTGACGAAAAACCCATAGAAGAAGAAAAACCAAAAACTGAAGATAAACCAAAACCAAAGTTTAGTTTCCAAACTAAACCAAGTCAACCTTCATTAGCTGGTATGGGTTGGCGTCAAAGACTTATGGCAGCAGGCGGTTATGTAAAGTAAAGAAAAAAATATTTTTTATTTTTATAAAAATGCCCCATATAGAATGGATAGAAAGTCTGCTAGAAAATAAAAGCAGAGTTGCAAAGATATGGTTGGAGAGTTTCGAAGAAGTTTAAATATAGGAAGGGAAGACCCATAAAAGTCTATGACAAATTGTCTGGTCTTCGCTACGAAATGGATTTGGAAACAGCACGTGCCAATTATCCAAACAGACTAGAGAGGTTAGAAGAAGAACGTCTTATGGACATGCCTTTCGATGTTAGTGAACCTCAAGTTGAAGGACACGACGGCTTTGCCAGATTCTACTGGAAACATGACGAACAATTGCATCCTTTGAGAAGGAAAAAAGGAAAAGGTGAAGACACACATGCTCCCATGGAAAGAACAAGATATGCATATGAAAAGTATCGTGAAGTTCGAAGTAAAATTACATCTGGTCGAACCTTTACAGTAAACTTTGACAAAGGAAAGAACAAAGAAGGCTTCATGGGAGTACTTGCTGCAATTCAAGACGGAAATAAGAAAGGACACAATCTCAGATTGACCGTAACAGATTTGGATGGTCACATTTACTATGCACATGGCAATGTCACAACAGCCGCACAACTTCTTGACGCTTTCAAGACTACAAAGAGAGAACAAATGTTTGACTCCGACTCAGACATTTTGAATGCAATTGAAGGAATTGCAAGTGTCAAGTTCGAATGGTTCCAACATAACCCTCAAGCAGTCAGACAACATGCTGGGTATTTCCCGTTCAGAAATAAGTCTGACATTGACTTGACAAGGTATGGAATTTACAATTCAATTGAAACAATTGTCAATGAACCTTGTATTCTTACATGTCTCAGGAACTCTGGTCTTGTTACAGATGAGAAGATGAAGTATCTTGAGTCATGTGTGAAAACAAGGTACATTCTCAGAGGTCAATTGGCAAAAGTTGCACCGTTGGCAAATGTGAATATTCGAGTCAACATACCGACTGAGAAAGGTTTTTCACATGACGACTATGTTGTTGACAAAGACTTACCATGGTTGAAGATTGTACTTGTCCACAACCACTTCATGTTGAACGAAAGTCTTACAAACCCATTGTTCGGAAAAGGCAAGTGCAACATTGTCAGAGCTGTTAACATTCTTTTCGAGAAAGGTTTGTTGGAACCAATTCCAGATGACAAGCTGACAGAAACTTTTGTACCAAAAGACGAAACAAACTTTTTATTGTTAGCAAGACCAAAAGTTGTTCCAGACAAAGTTCTAGCACAAAAGAAGTACACAGTTCCAAAAGGAGTTGGATTGTTCGGATACCAACCTGAACCAGAAGAACTTCCAATGAGGTTGCAAGAACTTCAAGATGCTATAAACAAACTTCCATTGAGACATCCAATTGACGTCAAATTGTATTGGAGAGCTTCTGAGTTAGGTCAGAAGGTTTTATATGAAACAGGTTGCTTTGACGATGTTTATGAGATAACAGGAGAAGTTTCTCAGAAGATAAGAGACTCACTTGAATTTCCAAAAACTGGACCGATTGGATGCGACAAGTTCGACTCAGATGAAAAAATATACTATGTCGACCTTAACGCTGCATACATGAGGTTTGTCCAATATATTCCAACTGGAATTCCAAACGAAGACGGTGAGTTCCCGGGAAGGAACTATACAGTTGGAAAAGTCATACAACAAATGTATGATATTAGGAAAGCTTCAAACCCCAAACTTGCAATGACACTCAAATTGCTTATGAATTCGACATGGGGATATTCCATTAAGAAACCTCAAGCGATGAAGAGTAAACACTATGAGAAGGTCGACAACTTTGTTGAAATGTTTTCTCCTTTTGTTTTGAAGTACGAGTTCACCGAAGGTCAAAGTGGCTTAGTAACCACATTAAAACCTATTGTCGAACATTGGTCGTACCCTCAGTTCGCAAAAGCAGTCCTTGACAACTACAACAAATTCTTCTTCGAAGTTAAATCCAAAGTGAAGGTTTACTACGAGAACATTGACGCACTCATGACGAACGAAGAAGGATACAACAAACTCATTGAAATGGGAATGGTCGGTGAAAAGATGGGCTGTTTTAAGCTAGATAAGGTATTTTCCGAAGTTCATGTCCTCTCCAAACGTAAGTACTGGGGTATACTTGAAGACGGCACAGAAATAAAACATTGCATGAAGTAAAAAATTGCATGAAGTAAAACATTGCATGAAGTAAAAAATTTTTTCAAAAAAATATTTTTTTTATTTTATTTGAAATGTACGCTGAGTTTGTTGGAGAAGACCGTTGGGAAACTTGTTTGTTAGATGAGAAATATGAAATTCACTGTTGTGAGTCATTTGAAGTCAGAAACAAAAAGACAAAAAGAGTTTTAAGCGAATGGGAGCAAAATGACGGATATGCTACTATGAAGATGGGTGGGAAACGCTATCTTAAACATGTTGTCATTGCAACTCATTTTATACTGAATCCTAACAATTTACCTTTTGTAGACCATATAAACCATATAAGAAACGACAATAGACTTGAAAACTTACGTTGGGTCACTCGTTCTGAAAACAATAAGAACAAAAGCAAATTTGGAGATATTGTATTCGAATTTTCGACGAACTAGAAGATGAAACAATTGAAATTACAGACTATGGTAAGCATACGTTTGAGTTTTACTACTATAGCGAAGAACAAGACTCTTCTACTTTTATACCGGCGTAAACTATAGGAAATTACAAGTATATTTTACTAAGGAAGGCTATGCTTATGTAAACGCTAGAGATACAGATGGAAAATACGTTCGAATACTTCTTAACAAATTCAAGAAGCTATATGGCATACCATTTTAAAACGTTTTTAAAACAGTATATTTTTACATATATTAAATGCTTCAGGTTGAAAAAACAAAGACAAAAGTAGCAGATACAAAACCGTTAGACTATATCTTTACAAATGCCGGTAGAAATATTTCAGATGAAGAAATTTCATCCCGAAGATACAGGTTTGACTATCCAATTCGTTGGCTTCAAAGTCCTTCAGATGCAAAGGCAATAGGATTTAGAAGAGTTTTGTGTTTTCAAATAAACTAACGCGTTTATGTTCGCAGTATATTTTCATGGTCAGTATAAAGGCTCTGATGGTCTAATAGAAAAATTTGACGAAATGAAAATCTTTACAATTCGTTCAGACGAAAGTCTTGAAAAAACTCTAAATGACTTTCAAACTCAAATAAACAAATACTACTGGGAATTTCAAGAAAAATACGACTCTTTACTAAATGGAACATACTATCTGAAACTAGAATATGACAAGATGAACTCCACCGTTTCATTTCAAAAGATTGAAATTAACCCTCCAAGAGATACAGAGTTTTTATATTGGGAGTAGACAAACGTTCTTGGCACAATTTCTTCGGTTACTAAACCAGAACGAACCATTACCACCAGATGGTCCATTTAAAATTTATACTTCCACCAGCAGATTTGACAGTTTATAGAAACGTATTTGACTCTCAAAATGTCATGTGTCATGCAAGTTTCAGTTCAAGCAACAACAGTTTTCTTTGTATCGGTAAGGACTTTTATGACTTTGCTTCTAAATTCTACGAACCACCTAGTAACAGTTTCTCTGACTTTCAAGTTTGGTTCACAACAAATGGCGTGCAGCATATAATTCCATTGTACTATGACTTTTATCTCGAATTGTCTTTCATATACAACTACGGAAAAGTGCTGAAAAAGTATTGAAAAATATATTTTAGGGTAGATGGTTTTTAGGTGTCACCAGGTCCCCAGGTCCCCAGGTCAATTTAACTTCTCTGAAAAAATGAGACAACATGACATTTAGACAACAACACAGGAAATAAACTTCTTCGTAAATGTTTTGTCATGATTTCATCGTATATGTTTTGTTGAGACTTCATCGTAAATGTTTTGTTGAGACTTCTTCGTCAATGTTTTGTCATGACTTCTTCATCGTATTCTTTTCACCCGTTGAATTTTGTATAAAAAAGCAACCGCCGGAATTCCGGCGGTTGGTATATTCTTCACAAAATGCTTGTTTTGAGGTCGAGCCACAAACGAATGTCCGACGGTTAAGCCACAAACGAATGTCCGACGTACCACCCAAAAATATTTTTTATTTTTATTGTAAGAACTGAAATGACAGTCGAAGCAAAAACGTTCACGAACAAATCTAATGGCGAAACATTCACAAAAGGCACTTACAACGGTATTGAAGTCTTACGTAGAGACAAGGATGGTTATATAAATGCAACAAAGATATGTCAGCAGTTTAGGAAAGACTTTAGAAGGTTGTTGGAAAATAAGTCCTGGGAAGAGTATTTTAAGGCATTTTGTGAAGAATATACCAACCCGCGGAATTCCGCGGGTTGCTTTTTATACAAAGTTCATGCAGGAATTCCGGATGAAATCAAACAGGTTAGAGGAACGTATGTAGACCCAAGACTTGTAAACTATATAGCAATGTGGGCTTCTCCAAAATATTGTATAGCAGTTGGAAAAATTCTGGACTCCATAGACAAGAAAGTTCATGAGAAATTAGATGAAGAAGAACTTGAAGATACAGTAGAGAATGCAAAACCTTTGTTCGAACAAGAAGTTAGAAAAATGTGCGAAAAACAAATAGAACATGAACGTGAGATATGTTCTGGTTATAGAGATTCTCCATACGAACTAGACCAATGGGAACAAGAAGATTTAAAGAGAGAATTTAGAGAATATGAACTCGCTAAAATTTCATTAGAAGCTGCAGAAAAGAAGTTAAAAGTTTGGGGTCGTTTTGTACAAAAATATTGTGAGTAAATGAACCATTTTTTTTATTGAATTCAGCAAAAATATATTTTAGGGTAGATGGTTAGATCTAACCTCATTTCTACCCTCATTTCTACCATCGTAGAAAACACACAAAACTCTTGAATTTTGTATAAAAAAAGCAACCGCCGGAATTCCGGCGGTTGGTATATTCTTCACAAAATGCTTGTTTTGAGGTCGAGCCACTTTTGGCTCCACCTCTTTTTTCAACCAAAACTCTTGAATTCGGCAAAAATATATTTTAGGTGGAACCAGGTCCCTCGGTCCCTCGGTCCCTCGGTCAACTAACATCTTTTTGAAAATGGTGACAACATGACATTTTGACAACAACACAGGAAATAGACTTCATCGTATATGTTTTGTCATGATTTCATCGTACATGTTTTGTTAAGACTTCATCGTAAATGTTTTGTCGAAACTTCATCGTCAATGAGCGTAAATCAGACAAAAATATATTTTAGTTTTTTTTTAAAAAAAATATTTTTTTATTTTTATTGTAAGAACATGTTAGCAACAACTTCACCAAACTCGTTAGTCATGAACCCAACTTCAATGTTAGTAGAGATGAAAAGCTTCATTCCTTCTTCATATACTTTCGAAACAGAAATCCAGAAGATAAAGCAAGAACTTCTCCAAGGAGATTTAGATTGCACTGCAAAAGATGAAGAAAATGAAGAATATCTTTATGAAATGCAGGATATTATTGACCATCTACCTAAACTTCCTGAAATACAACAACAAAAGCTCACTATTCCTGAATTCGATGAAATAGAAGTCAAAGCAACTGACTCAGTAGAAATAAAGAAGTTCATACGTAAGGTAAACTATGAGTTTCTTGGATTTCATTGCAACCACAAAGACTGCGATATGGTATATTTCATTGACATATATAAATCTGGGGAGTTTAAGACCTACGACAACTTTGTTTCGTTAGTTGCAAAATGTGTATGGCAGATAAGAGATAAAGATAGAAGAGGTAAAGTATGGAACGGACAGATAAAACCCGCAACTTTTGAGTTAAAGAAAACCATTTACGCCTTAGTTGTTTTAGCAGGACAAATTTCAATGTACAATGCAAAAATGAACCCACAATGTTCAAAATGTAAAGCAGCAATGAGGAAATATAACTACTCCGTCAAAGAGATAGAACGTATGCGAAACGACTATGCTGACTTAAAGAAAGAAGCAGAGAAACCAGCAGAAGATAAAATGGACATGTTGACATTTCTGAACAAAAACTATCCAACTGCTGACGATTTCCTTCTTTCAGATGTCAAGAAGAAATATAAAGAAACATTCGGCATTGTTAAAACTTTTGACATACTGACAGAAGAAATAGAAGCTACGAAATTGTTTAGAATTTCAAATATACATCGTACAATTCATGTAAAACGCTTATAAAACTTTATGGTAGAAATGAGGTTAGAAAAGAGGTTAGATCTAACCATCTACCCTAAAATATATTTTTGTCTGATTTACGCTCATTTACGAAGAAGTCTTGACAAAACATTTACGAAGAAGTCTTGACAAAACATATACGAAGAAGTCTTGACAAAACATTTACGAAGAAGTCTTGACAAAACATATACGAAGAAGTCTTGACAAAACATTTACGAAGAAGTCTTGACAAAACATATACGAAGAAGTCTTGACAAAACATTTACGAAGAAATCTTGACAAAACATTTACGAAGAAGTCTTTTTCCTGTGTTGTTGTCAAAATGTCATGTTGTCACTATTTTCAAAAAGATGTTAGTTGACCGAGGGACCTGGTTCCACCTAAAATATATTTTTGCTGAAAAAAATGACCAAATTTCATGATATAACTGTATTTTTTTGACGAAGAGAACTTTTACACTTCGTAAAAAAAATCCCTGAAATCGTGAAAAAATGACCAAATTTCATGATATAACTGTATTTTTTTGACGAAGTGAACTTTTACTCTTCGTAAAAAAACTCTATGAAAACAGTGAAAAAATGACCAAATTTCATGAATTTCCTCATATGTTTGCTACCCTCGAAAAACCGAGGATAGAGATTCCGTACGAAAATCGTAAAAAAACTCTATGAAAATCGTGAAAAAATGCGACCCTCGGAAAACCGAGGGACGCCTAAAACACATGAAAATCGTGAAAAAACTCTATGAAAATCGTGAAAAAATGCGACCCCGACTTTTACAGGGGTCGCCAAAACTCTATGAAAACAGTGAAAAAACTCATGAAAATCATGAAAAATTGCGAGTACGTAAGAAAACGTAGTCGCCTAAAACACATGAAAACAGTGAAAAAATGACCAAATTTCATGATATAACTGTATTTTTTTGACGAAGTGAACTTTGACACTTCGTAAAAAAACTCTATGAAATCATATCTTTTATACAAGATAGAAAAAAAAGTTAGTTTTTATTTTTTTTATTTTTTTATTTTGTATGTAAGAACAGAAAATGTTAAAGGTTGAGTTTGAAACAGTTAAAAAGATAGACAATGACACCAAAGTGGTTAGAATAGGTGATTTAAACGTAAGATACTCAAAGAAATACAACAAATATTCTTTGTCAGACATTCTAACACTATCTGGAAAGAGAGCAAAGGACTGGGTTAGAAATGCTTCAACTCAGAAAATTTTGACAAGAAATCCTGAGCTTTTGATATCGGTAAGATTCTATGGAACTACAGCATATCTCATCGACAAAAGTCTTATACCAGTAGTTTTGTTATGGTTAGACCCAGTTGTTGGATATAACTTCATAACATATGGTTCATTCGATACGGAACGTTGCAGTGAAGGCTTACTTTACATCGTTCAGAAACCGAAGGACTTCAATACAAAGAGATATAAGATAGGAAGAACATATAATATAACTAAAAGATATGACAGTACAGTCAATAGAGTTAAGGTTGTGTTTGTAAATGATATGAGAGCTGCTGAAACAGAACTACTTGAAAAGTTTGAGAAAATGTATGGTGCTCCCACGAAAGGTAAAGAAACGTTTGAAGTAGATGAGATAGATAGTGCTATAAAATTATTTGACGAAGTTGCTGAAAAATACATGTAAAGCGTTTATTTTTCAAGCTTGACACCAAAGATGGCTCAGGTAGCTCTATAAGGTAAATTGTCTTGTCAAATCCTTCTGGCATTCCGAGTCCTTCCTTCCGACATTCCGAGTCCTTCCTTCTGGCATTCCGAGTCCTTCCTTCCGACAGAAAAAGTTTTTCCTTCCGACAGGAAAAAAATTTCTTGACAACAGGAAAAATTTTTTCTGTTGTCCGTCCGTAAACCATTCAAATTTTCGAAAATTGAGAACTTTTTGGCCGACCTTCAGAAAAAGTTTTTCCTTCCGACAGAAAAAGTTTTTCCTTCCGAGAGGAAAAAAATTTCTTGACAACTGGAAGAACTCTTCCTTCCGACAGGACACAAACGGATGACTGACATTCCTCTTCCTGAATGTCTTCCAAAGCCAGAAGAACCGAAAGCTGCAGAACCACAACAGACTAAGACTAAAACACTTACATTTTCAAGCTTGTCTTGAAACAATTTGAACTTTGTTTGCGTAGATGTGAATTCTGAAAGAAGTATGAGGGTCTTGTATGACTTTGTACTTCTCCCATAGTTCATGTCTGTCAAACTTACCTGCCATGGACTCTTTCATAAGTTCCATGAAATCGTCTTCGGACAATCCGGGGAAAAGTATAATATCAGTAAGTATTCTCTTTACATCCTTACTTAAACTCTTGGCTGTCTGTACACAAATGACAACTGAAATGTTAAAGTGTCTGAGCTTCTTAAGAATTCGACACATGTCTTGTTCTCTATTCTTTAACAAAGGATGAGAGGCGAAATCATCTAAGATAAGAAGACATCTGTGAGGGTAAGTCTTCCAATCGTAAGATTGCAATTTCTTCGAAATGTATTCTATCTCTTTCTGTTTGTTTCTGAAGTGTTTCTTCTCTAATATTCTCTGCATTTCCTCATTTGGGTCTTTAAACTTAGAATTGACATACTCATTTATAGCATTGTACTTCAAAACTCTTCTTTGGTACTTCTTTATCCAATCCAACAACTCAGAGTCTTTTATACATACTAACTTAGACTTCTTTATAATATCTTTGAACGAATTGACTGTTTGGTCAAATTGACCCGAAGTACTACAAATGACTACTAACTCATAGAATGGGTTCTTCTCATCTAGTTCTTGTTGTTGTGCAGCCATTTTAAGATAAGTGAAAGTCTTACCCGACCCAGGTGGTGCAATTAGACCTGTTATACCATTCTGAGCAAATAGGAACTTGTCATGTATGGGTTTTATCTGAGCATTTTCCAACTTCCTCTTGTTCTTATTTAAAACATTCTCAAATTTTTTGTCAATGTCAGCAAACTTTTTTTCTAACATATTTTTAGAAAAATTAAAATTTTTATCTTTTAGGAAATGTCTAGCGATTTCGCCATCTATATTCGAGACAAGCTTTTCGACAGCAAAACATCTGTCGACCATAAAATCTTACATAGTGTAAACAAGAAAGGTGAATTTGTTCTAAAGTTCTGTTTCTGGGAATATGACAAGAACCATAAAACATTAAGCAGAGCAGTCTTAAAATTTGTCAATGACAGACTTGTTGACAGAGATGACGCCTCTTGGAGAGATGAAGTCCAACAAAACTTCTTAGAATGCAAAGAAGACACATGCGCTGTTCTTGAAAATGAAATAGAAAACAGAATAGAAGAGCTATTAAATGACAAAGCACTTTTACAAAAATATGGTTCTGAGAAGTTTGACATAACTCCACCAGAGAAGAAGAAGAGAGAAAAGAAAGAAAGAAAGTAGAAGAAGAGAAGAAAGAAC